ACACTACAATTTGATCATTATGATATCAAATAATTATAACATATATATTTGAAATGATAAAAATTGGACTAATTGGGTTCGTCGAGGTTGAACCATTGAATAACTTTAAAATACATTATATTTTAGCCACTAAGATATAAAATAATAGCATAATATATATTATGCCAGAGAAAATAGCTTGTTTTAGAATGGCAAACCAATGATGTTCATTTGTTTTACTTGATGGCCAAATCCCATGTAGGTCAGGCCCATTCAACTCTTTTATTTTATGGTTAGCGTTTAGCCCATTAGATACCATGCATTAGTTTATTGTTTAATTTTTTATTTTTAGCAATAAAAAGGATTATTATTTTTGCCTTTTCATATATATTTTATCACCACGGAGAAACATGCTAATAAATTTGCAATGCATAAAAAAAACGGGGCAAAACTTGAAATTCAGCTTGTTTGACCGCCCCATGCCAAATTCTAATTATTCTTTACTTTTAAACTTCCTATTTGAAAATAAAAAATAGTGAAAGAAAAGAGATGACTGCAATTCACCATTGGCACATAACTTATTCGGAAATAAAATCATAGAAATTCAAAAGGAACTGAGAAATTCAGCCTGTTTTTGCCTTTTCATATATATTTTATCACCACGGAGAAATAAAAGAGCTTAAAGAAAAAAATTGACACTCCTGGACCCGTTTAAATCCGCATGTGTACGGTAAGTTGGCCCGTTCCACAGAGGAAAGAGAAAAAAATTGACACTCCCTATTCTACCCTTCCTACAAACGTTTTTAGAATGACAAGCCAATGATGTTCATTTTTTACTTGATGGCCAAATCTCTTGTAGGTCAGGCCCATTCAACTCTTTTATTTTATGATTAGCAGTTAGCCCATTAGATACCATGCATTAGTTTATTGTTAAATTTTTTATTTTTAGAAATAAAAAGGAGTATTGTTTTTGTCTTTTCATATATATTTTATCATCACGGAGAAATAAAAGAGTTTAAAGAAAAAAATTAACACTCCTGGACCCGTTTAAATTTGCATGTGTACGATAAGTTGGCCCGTTTCACAGAGGAAAGAGAAAAAAATTGACACTCCCTATTCTACCCTTCCTACAAACGCTCATGGAGCAGGGAATTTGAAATGGGGGAAGAGTTTTTTCCTCCCTACTATTATATGTTTTTAATTTGAAAAGATACAACAAATGTACTGATTGGTTATGATCCTTGTTCTTCTTTAAAATGGTCATGGTTCGAACCCCAGTATGTGTCTTTTTAATGAATAAAAAAAAGTAATTGTGAAGTCCAAAATGTCCTTCCTACTTTCACTCTCGTTGCAAGAAATTTGAAATGGGGCTCCCGTTTTTCCCTTCAGTGTATTATAATATGTGTAGATTCACTGGTTTTAGAATCGGATCGAATGATCAACTGGAAAAGTTAGTGGTTTAAAGTTCAGTGATTCAACGTCACAAAATCGTTTATTAATCGTTGATAGAACCGTTCATGATATATAACTTACAAGACTTGTATAATACAATAATTTAAGAATGAAGTTATCATTGACCATAAACAATTTCAAATTCATATCACCATCAAAATATCTAACAAATCATTCAAACATTCTCACAAAAGAAATCATAATTTTTTTTTCATCCAAGTTAAAAAAAAATCAGAAGAGGAAGCAGAAAAAAAAATTAATAATTCTTATTTGACAGTCTTAATTTACGTTAAAGTATGTTTTTATTATTTTGTGGTTAAAATAGTGAATCATTAGACCAGTTAAACCGTGGTGGTTCATTTGATTTTATGTTGAACTGTGAAAAATCGTTTTGTTCATCAATAACCGTCCAAACAATGAACCAGACTGCTATCGTAACTGGTTCGGTGGTTCTACTAGCTCATCCGTTGATCAGGTTCGGTTCTTATAAATAATTATCAATTCTCTTGAGAGGAGTGAGGATGACCGTCCAAAATGCATCCACAAGGACGATTATCGATTAATGGAGGTGACAAGTAGATTGGATTAATGGATTGCTGAATTGGATTGATTGATTCATGGATCAAATGAATTGGTGGATTCATGAATTGAATCAAATAGATTGGTGGGCTGGATCATGAATCCAAGTGAAATTTAAACATTGGACCAAAATGTAAATTTTGAAAAGTTTAAGCATTAACATATCATAATAAAAATATTTATATACCAAAACATATTTTTGTAATGATAAAATTAAAATTTAGGTATGGAAATGCAAAATATAAAAGGTATAAGAATTGTACTATAATTTTTCAAATGTCCATGAATCCAATTTATGAAATCACCAATCCAATTGGATTTGGATCAAATAGATTGGACTAATTGATTATTTTAGTGAAAGAATTGAATTGGATACAATAGCTCTACGCTTGGCCGATTAATTATTTTATCTCCTTTTATGTAATTTTAGATTTTGGTAGGGTGACTTGTAACTTGAAGAAAATGGTTGCTCGTTAGTGACTTGATGTTGCATTATTGCGAAACAATTTCGTAAGGTATGTATCTTATTCTTCATTATGTTTCGAAGAATGTAAGTGTTTCATTTGGTGGATCGTTTGCTGGAAGTGATCCTCTTTAAGTTAGAGTGACTTAGAAGTCACCATATACATAGCCATATTGTCAAACTAAACCAAAATTCTCATTTGTGTCATGACCAATATTATTGGATATACCAAGAAAAATGTACAGTCATATCAATAATGGTCAGTGGCAGAGCCACATGGAGAGGAGTGGGTGCTTGCACCCCCTTGGGTTTGGAATTTTTCCCCCAGTAGCGGTATATACAAATTCGAACTAGTGACCATTCAGTTGCAAGGAAAATTGCTTATCATCTCGATCGAGTGAGTTTTGTTATGCAATGCACTTTCGTGTTTATTTATAGTAATAAACTGTTGTCTTTCATTTAAACTTGCTCATTTCTTTTGTAGCTCTACAACAGAGGAATCTCTTGTCTTTTGTTTTAAACAAAGCTGAAAGTGAAGAAGTACCAATTGAAGTTCACTTGTTTGTTTCACAAAATCAATTCCAAGGTACTTCTGAGTTCTAATTTGTAATGTTTGATAAATGGAAGTCTTGACTTGTATGTACTGAACTTATTTGTTTGACGTTGTAACCGTGTACGTGAAACTATTTTTATGTAATTGTATGAATTTAGAGTATTGCGTTGTTGACTTTTTGTTTCATTTAGAGTTGAGTGATTTTTTATGATATGATAAAGACACCCTTTGGCAGTTCGGATTAGCTACGATATCGCACTTGCCAATTTGAATATCAGTATTTTATACATTTTTTTTGGCAATGTAAGAAAATCAGTGACGGGTAGATTACATTAGCACCCACGGCTGGTTTCAGTGACGTCCGAGCTGCATCGGAGGGTCGGAGGGATGGGTTTTAATTAGCAGAAAGGACTCGGGATCTGAATATTCTAAAGTAATTATCTATCGGCGTCAACGCTCATGCCTTAGCCAAAAACTCTATGGTCCATGCGCATTATTTGTTCAACACACAATAATAAAGAGAAAAAAAAGCCTAAGAGGGACTAAAACAATATATATGATATAATGTTGGGATATGGTGTGATCGTTCACCTAGTCTTAGTCTTAGGCATGGAACAAGATTGGGAAACGACGTTGTGCCGCTCTGTTGTAAGGTCACTTTCTAAGCATGGACTCGGTCAGAACCCATATTCCGGTCATGTCTAAACTTTACATCGCATTTAAAGCCCACTCAAAGGAAAGAAGGCTATAAATAGAACACTTACTCTGATGGGTAAAGGATCGGTTTTTGCTTCCTCTCGCTTGGGCTTTAACTTTCTCTCCCTAAACCTTCTCACAATTGCTTTGTAAGAATCGTCTTGGAATAAAACGAAACCTTTGAATACATGTCACTCGCGACCTTGAATTCTAGTGTCTCACTCCTACATTCAGTTAGGCACAAACATATAATGATATCTTCCTTTGTATAGATATGAAATTATCCATGTCTACCCATAGGAGTGTTGCATTTGTTAACCCATCTTTTAATTATCAAGTTAAAGATTCGATTTTTACCGTTAGATATGATAGTTGTATGATGTCTTGTATTTGACAAAATAATTTGATGACATCGGATCACTAGGGACAATATCAAGATACGATAGTGATGATGTTGGTATAAAAGTTTATGTACGAGAAAATGACTTTGAATCGCTATATATAATTAAAATGGACGGATCTAAAGTGAGTTTTGTAGTAGAGAATTTTGATCTTTTTCCTATCGAAGGATCCCATGTTGCACATATTAATGTATTCATATTTCTGGATAATCTCGTATAATCTGCTCTGCTTTTCAGCTCCCAAATACAACAATTTGGCTTTTTGAGAAGTTTGAAGCTAATAGTTGGTTATTGGTAATGGTGATTGGTGTCTACCCGTGCTTTCGCAAGTAAACGAACCAACTTTGACGAATGACAGGAAAAAAATCTTGGCCAGTTGGCCGACATCAGTTCATTCCTCCACGAACACTTTCTTTCAATGGTCGACCACCTTCCTTTTATTTTCTTACTTTTCCGTTATTCCTCTTTTCAGTTAATTAGCTCGTCGGGATATAGAGTGTTCATCATCTGGATTATTGATATTAATTAATTAATCAGCACATCTTTAATAACATAATTGGACTAAAGTCGCACAATCAATCGACAAATTAAACCGCCTAATATAATGAAGCATCTTCATTATCCATTTCTGGTGATGGATCGAATATGTCTGTCTTTAACATGTGGATTGCCAATAGATTATCATTATTAGATTGGACTTTAACATGCTCATCCTTTTCGTTTTTTTTTTCTTTTCTGTTTGTATTTGTTGAAAATGAACGAGTGAATAGTTTTGAAAGCTATAGAGTTTCAACTTTCAAGTGGAAAATTATCATATTAGTAGTTTTATTTGGTGAAATGTGTATAAAGATATGAGTCTCTTTCTCAAGGGCATGTCCCTTGGGGTGACCCACTTTTATGGGAGATGGAGGACCTAACCGACTGACTGGTTGGTTGGCTTGAGACTATATATTTTTTTGGAGAAATTATATTCTTACAGACGGGTTTTAATTAAGGAAGTAATTTATCTTCCTTAATTAATCCGACTTATTCCCCAAGCAAGAGGGCATATTCCTTGGGGTTCGGCTCCTAAAAATAACCACCTCCCCAGTCCCTCTAAACACACCACATCGAGCATAAACATAATAGAGAGAGTGTTCAGAGAACTCGGGTTTTCGCACAAAACCGCAAGTATTGAGAGGAGCTGTTTTATCCTGGAGACGACCGGTTGATAGTCTGTCGTGCGCATCGAGGGCAGTGCCGCGAACGTCTTAAAGAGAGCGACCTAGTCCGCGACTCAGCTCCAGATTCAGTAACCTCGTTCTTGTTGTTGTTCCATTCCTAACAATTTTAAGACGTTCGGCTGCTGCTATGTCGACTGAACAGAACAACATGGCCGGATCTGGTGTTGTCGATATCAATCGATCTTTTTGCTTCGTTGGAGTCAACTTCCGTCGCTGGAGACAAAAGATGGAGTTCTACCTGACGACCAAGAAGTTGGCACACTGCCTCACCAGCATGCCCGTCGAGCTGCCGGAAGAAGCGACCGATGAGGAGTGGGCTGCTTCTGCCAAGGAAAGGGAGCATGACTTCTTGTGCAAGAACTACATCCTTAACGGCCTGGCAGATGATCTCTACGACTGCTATGTGGACAACAATAACACCGCCATGATGATCTGAGATGCGCTCCAAAAGAAATACGACACGGAGGAGGCCGGACTAAGAAGTATGTTGTCAGTCGCTACCTGCGCTACCAGATGGTGGATGACAAGTCCGTTGAAGTTCAGTCCCACGAACTTCAAAAAATAGCTCATGAGATCGTCTCTGAAGGTATGCCTCTGGACGATCAATTTCATGTTGCTTGCATTATTGATAAGCTGCCCCCTTTGTGGAAAGATTTTAAGAAAATGCTTAGACATAAAACCAGAGAATTTTCACTGGAAAGCTTGATTACTCGCCTAAGGATTGAGGAAGAGTCCCGCAAGCAGGATATGAAAGAAGAGGTGATGGCCGTCACTGCTAAACGACCCACCCCTAGAGCTCTTAAACCTAACCAAAAAGGGTTTAAAAGTAAGAACCAGCAGGTCCGCCCCCATCAAAATGGTGCCTCTCGAGGTAACCAAAGGGCCATGGCCCAAACCTCTAAGAATGACCCACCGTTTATCTGCGAGAACTCGGGTTTTCGACAAAACCGCAAGTATTGAGAGGAGTTGTTTTATCCTGGAGACGACCGGTTGATAGTCAGTCGTGCGCACCGCGAACATCTTAAAGAGAGCGACCTAGTCCGCGACTCAGCTCCAGATTCGGTAACCTCGTTCTTGTTGTTGTTCCGTTCCTAACAATTTTAAGACGTTTGAACGAAATCAATTATTAGATAATTAATTATTAATCGGTTATTCAAAAGAATATTCTAAGGATAATCGATTAAAAAGGAATATTACAGACGGGTTTTAATTAAGGAAGTAATTTATCTTCCTTAATTAATCCGACTTATTCTTCAAGCAAGAGGGCATATTCCTTGGGGTTCGGCTCCTGTAAATAGCCGCCTCCCCAGTCCCTCTAAACACACTACAACGAGCATAAATACAATAGAGAGAGTGTTCAGAGAACTCGGGTTTTCGCACAAAACCGCAAGTATTGAGAGGAGCTGTTTTATCTTGGAGACAACCAGTTGATAGTCTGTCGTGCGCATCGAGGGCAGTGCCGCAAACGTCTTAAAGAGAGCGACCTAGTCCGCGACTCAGCTCCAGATTCGGTAACCTCGTTCTTGTTGTTGTTCCATTCCTAACAGTTTTGGTTGAGTGAAATTAAAGCCTCAGAACTCCCAGCTCGAAGATAAAATGTAGGCATTGATAAGTTGGTGGGCATCTGTAGCACGAGATCTGCCTGCATGAGTGTGTTTACCAGCAAAAGGGTCGCGTTTTATGGATAGGAATAGACATAGACTATCAGGTCAAAAGACGATGTCAAGAATAAGGTGATGTTATGAGAGTCAAGTTATCGTAACTATTGAAACTCGTTCTGAGTTTGCGTATCTTTATTATTTAGTATTTTATTATTAATTATCTTTATTATTGATTTCCTTATTAATTAGGATTTGTGTTATTGTTTAGGAGTTTATTATTATTTTCTTGTATGTTGGGTTTCATAATCTAGGTAGGAAAAGGGAGAGAGGGCCGTCAGTAGGATTGGAATTTTGGGTTCTTCTATGCCTATAAATATGTACATTGCCTTTCATTTAATGTTATGTTGAAGATTGGAATCCAATAGTAGTTGTAGTTATCTTCGTTTCTCTAAATATTCTCTTCGTTCTAACTCTCTTTCTTAACGAATATCTTTCAACATCGACGACGCACGTTACGCGTGAAGATTCTCACAGGAGAAATACACGTAACAGGTGATCATATATCATTGACTAACACACCGAGTGGCAGAGCCAGAAATTTGAACGAGGGGAGCTTAAAAAAATACACTTGAGTGGTTTGAACCCTGATCATTGGTGAAGGGGGCTAGTGGCTTACCAACTAGTCTAGTTTTATATTTTGTTACCAATTTTCCATGTAAATTTACCTATTTTTGAAAGTTGGGGGAGGGGGGCTATTGCCCATCCTGAGCTCAACGTGGCTCCACTACACACCCTCTCAAACGAAAGCCATTTATAAAGGCTTGAAGTTTGCATAGTTTCAGACATTATTTGCGTAACAAAACAAATGAGGCTCATTGTAATTCGAACATGAAACATTTCGGTACGCAAAAAAACTTTTATGCCATGTCACTATTGAGAGAGATTCAATTATAAATTATATATTGTTGACTAATAGGGACGAGTCCTGTCACAAATGACTTCCAGACTTCCAGTACAACCCCAAGAAAACTAGAGATGGCAATTTCGACTCGACCTGTTTGACCTATTTTGGGGCGGGGCGAGCATGGATACTCTCATCGACCGACCTGCCCTGACCCGCCCCATTCTCGACCCGTTCTTGCCTAAATTACACATAATTTTAGTCAAATTACTTAGGATTTTCCTTTTATTACATCAAATTTTAGCTATAATAAAGTTGTAAATTAGTGAAAACCTCAATTTTTTCAATAATTTAACTATATTTATCATAATATTGTTTGTTTCCATGGTCTTATAATAAACATAACGAACATTTCTAATATTTTTCATATAAATTGCTTACCCATTGGGTCGATCTGTCCCGACCCATGACCCATGATAAATTATCCGAGCTGTACCCGACCTGTCACGGAAAGGGTCGGATCTGGATACCAAAAAACCTGCCCGAATCTGCCCATTGCCATTCCTACCGAAAACATTTGTGTTTATGCATATTATTGATTGCCGACTGAGCTACTTCTTTCAATTTGATTTCTCGGAACCAAACAAGAAAATGCCAAAGGAACTTGGTCGGAAACTGTAAAGCAGTAATTAGTATGTGGTTTAGCACACAAAACCAAAACAAGAACCCACCACTGAATGCAATTGGGTTTGACTAATCTAATAGATTAAGCTCTATGTTCTAAAAAAAAAAAGCAAGTATTAATTAGTAGAGTAGGCCAGAAAACGGTGGGTGACTTTTTCGAACTACAAAAACGGACTATACCCTAGGGTATCATCTGTTTTTGTTTTTATTTTTATTTTAAGTCATTATTGTAGTATCATCAGTGTTAAAAAAGAATAGGCATATGCCTGATGTGTCATCTAAATTCTAAAGTGTCAACAACAAAACCATCCATGGAGGTTGTTTTATACAGTTAAGCAAACACTTACTAAATATGTAGTAGTTTAAGAAGCTATGTCTAGTGACATTATTATTAGTATTATTCTTATTCGATTGAAAAGTTTTTTGTTTGAACTCATTGAATAGCATTTAGAGGTGACAAATGTATTGAATTTATCAATTAGTGGATTGAATTGATGGACCAATAGATCAAATGGATTTGTGGATTTATGGATTGAATCAATTCAATCATGGATCCAAGTTGGATTAAACATTGAACTAATATGTAAAATTTAAAACGTGTAGGTATTAAAATGTCACAATAAAAATTGTAGGTATTGAAATATAAATTTTCAATGATAATTTTGTTAGAATAAACATTAGGTACCAAATTGTAAAATGTGAAAATAGAGATACTAAACTGTGATTTACCAACAATCCATGAATCCACCAACCTAATTAGGTTTGGATCAAATGAATGAGATTAGTTTGGTATTTAAGTGAATGTATTTGATTATCCGACTATAAAAGAAAATACCAAAACTATCAAATTTACATAACTACCTGGCACATAAGCTAACTTCCTTATCAATATCAGTTCGCAATTTTCCTTTTAAATAATTGCATGCCGCATTATTTTAATTTTACTATTATTGTTCTTACTTTTCTCCCACGGCTGCAAATACAATACTTTCTCGTCCCTCCATCCATCCATCAGAATTTGATTTGTCGAAAATAATTATTGGTCACAAATCACGAGCAAAAGAGGAGAATCCAGAACCAGAACACACAAACCAATCAAACCCATCTGCTTATGCGGTCCAAAACCAAAACCAGAACCAAAACCAGAACCAGAAACCATCTCATTTTTGCATTCCTTCGTCTCTGGGAATTCAATATTATTTTCTCCCCCTTTTCCTCTGCTCCCGATTCTGGTTTTTGCAGATGGTCAACACAGTTTTGCCTCCTATAAGTATGGACTGCCTCTCCATCTCTGCTTTCCTCTCCAAATCCTCCCTCCCATCCGCTCCATCCTTCGGTGCATGGATTCATCGATTTTCTCTCTTCACCACTCCTCGCCATTAATCCCCTCTTCCTCTTCCATTTCTCTCCGCTCCCCCGCTTGCTGCTCGGCTTCGCTTTCTCCTCCTTCCAACTTCAGTTTCTTCACTCCTCGTCTCGGTTTCGCTCCCGTTTCCCGACGTCTCATGGCGGCACCACCACCCGCGTCCGACGGCAAGGCCGCCACCACCAACGGCGGCGTGGGTCATGGTTTGTTCAAGCCCAAGATCGTCAACGGCGATTATGGCTACGTTCTCGAAGATGTCCCTCACTTGACCGATTACCTTCCTCACCTTCCAGTACGCTCTTCTTTTCTCTTCCCCTTTCCCCTCTTTCGCGCGCTGTCTAATGGTAATGGATCAGAGATAATTGGGTCTTTGAATCCGTTTCTTGATCGATCGGTGTCTTGTTTGGGTTGTTTCTGAGAAACCGGGGAATTGATTCCCTTTCCTTCTTGCTCCCAAGGATTAGTGATTCAATAATCCGCCCAACTTGAATTAAATTATATTTTGGTTTCTGTTTCACAGACTCATTCCAATCCGTTGCAAGACAATCCTGCCTACTCCGTGGTCAAGTGAGTTGGATTTCCCCCCATTTCTTGCCCAACTATTTGGAATTTTTAATGGCTGCCCAGTTTTTCTGTTCCCGCCATCTGAATTGGGATTGAGCCTTTTTCTGTCTGGTTTCCGTTTCCTGCAGGCAGTACTTTGTTGATGTGGATGACACCGTCCCTCAAAGAGTAAGAAAAGCCTGCCTGGTTTCTTGTGCTTTGATCTGGGTTAGCTGATGAATGTCCTAATTTGGTGATTCTTCTGTCTGTAGATTGTTGTCCATAAGGATAGTCCGAGGGGGACCCATTTCAGGCGTGCTGGACCTCGCCAAAAGGTGAGGATTATTGAACTTTCCAGCTCTGGATATGAGGGGTGAAGCAAATGATATATATATGTGGTTGTTTCTCTTATTAATATGGTGGGGTGTGGTTGTCTCTCACAGGTCTACTTCGATTCGGACGAAGTCAATGCTTGTATTGTGACATGTGGTGGTCTCTGCCCAGGACTCAATACCGTAATCAGAGAAATTGTGTCTACCTTGTATTCCATGTATGGCGTGAAGAAAGTGCTTGGGATTGATGTAAGCAGGCATTCGGTTGTGGTTTGATACATAGGCTATAGCATTGGAATGGCGGTGCTGCGTACTAATGAAGTTACTTTTTTCAATGGGAACTTGTATGCAGGGGGGATACAGGGGATTCTATGCTCGAAACACGATTAACCTGACTCCTAAGGTTGTGAATGATATTCATAAACGTGGCGGAACCATCCTTGGGACTTCACGAGGAGGTCATGATACAAAAAAGATAGTTGACAGCATTGAGGACCGGGGTATTAATCAGGTTTGTGAAAAATTATTCGTGGACCAGGTGGAACAGATGGGTATTAATCAGGTTTGTTTGTTAGATTCTTTACGAGTTCAGGAATCGATGGATGCTAATCTGTACTTTGTTTGATTATGTAGGTGTACATAATTGGAGGTGACGGTACACAGAAAGGGGCTTCGGTTATATACGAGGTCATCTATCTTTGGAACAAGGATTGTCATTCTCTAGTATATTGCTGTCTTCTTAAGGGGCTTATTACAGAGAGTGGAATTGTAAATTTGAAAGCTTTAACATGCAGGAAGTTAGAAGGCGGGGGCTCAAAGTTGCAGTTGCTGGCATTCCTAAAACAATTGATAATGACATTCCGGTATTGTACTTGGCTGTGCCTTACTGTTATCAAATGATGCAAAATACTTTTTAGATATTTAGGTTAGCCGGACGGTCATTTTCTGAACATAAGCTGTTTGAAAATTGGTTATTTTATACCAGGTGATTGACAAATCATTTGGCTTTGACACTGCTGTTGAGGAGGCTCAACGTGCTATTAATGCTGCACATGTTGAAGCAGAAAGTGCCGAAAATGGCATTGGTCTTGTGAAGTTAATGGGTCGTTATAGTGGTGAGTCCCCTAGTAGTACCTGAAGCTAGCCGCCCCTTAATTGTTTACTGTGGTTTTCATGGTTGATTGTTCCTTTTTGTGTACTTCTTTTTGTGGCTTGTTTCCTCATTCAATTTTGTTTGGGATGCAGGGTTTATTGCCATGTATGCTACTCTTGCAAGCAGAGATGTAGATTGCTGCCTAATTCCAGAATCACCCTTCTACC